GATAGATAGATAGATAGATAGATAGATAGATAGATAGATAGATAGATAGATAGATAGATAGATAGATAGATAGATAGATAGATAGATAGATAGATAGATGTTAATGTTAAAATATCTTCTTAATAAACAAGTGTAACAAATTAAAACAGAGAAAAAAATCTGGAAAATTCCAGAACACAACGGATAACGGATATGTTTATTTATAATTAAATAATTTTGTTCACATCTACAAGTTTGCTTCTCTATAAAGATAAAATAAACATCTTAAACAAAATCGTTATACATGTAAGCATATATGTATAAGTATGCATGTTTGAACATGAAACAAAGCAAGGATAAATTTTTCAAGTTTGATAATTTTTTATATGATTATTATAAAAAAGGATAGTTTGTTAAAAAAAAGAAAAAAAAGAAAAATGCAACTATAAGTCATCAACGAAGGGTTAGAACAAAAAGAGTGCACCTTTACTAAACTTTCGTTTAAAAATGTGTCAGGGGAGTTTAGTTCATATGTGTTAATTGGCTCAAATCTGATTCAGTGACACTTTCTGAGTCAGTAGCACAGTTTTTAACTGTTTTCCTCTGAGCTACCTGCTCGGATATTCTGATCCAGTGAGCTGATGTTTAACATTACTATTTGTAATTAGCACAGCTATACTGGGGTCCTTTAACTCAACCTTCCTTAAACACATTAATAATATCCAAATAGATTATCAAGTTCAATAGGCCGGTGGCAACAGAGAAATGGACCAATGATACACGACGTCACAAGTGTCAAATATAACAAGGAAAACTAAATTTTCTCACATTAGTTGACATATTTTCCAAGATCAAATAAAAAAGTGCAAAAACAGAAAATAAAGAACACATAAAATTGCATTTATTTTACTGTAAGAAAAGCACTTTATTCTAAAATTATCACTATTATTGATGATTTTGTCGGACACACAAACTGAGTTGACACTGGCGTAAGAATACAGCTGTACTGTACTACTGAGAGTGTACAAATTCTACGTTGCCATCTATTGTATCTATTGGACAATCTAATTGATAATATTGTTACTGTAATTTTTAACATGAAAATACAATGTCCATGCAATGTTCAATAAAATATTGCTCAAAGTTTTTATATCAAATTTTATGTTGTGTGACAATTTCCCATTTGTGCAATTTTCTAAGCGGCAATTTCCCAAAGTTTAGGTTAGGCCTTCTGAGCTGCAGAAGGCAACAATTAGCAAGCGCTCTGGCCGGAACAGGCGAGTCGAGGAGGCCGAAAACTGGGGCTCGTACAGACTTGAGAAGCTACCGAGTTGGGAAAATACACTTGGGAATTACCGCTTTGGGAAAAAACTTTGGGAAGGTACCTGACATCTAGTTTATTTTATCTTTGGCAGTATACTTAAAGCACAATCTTTCACATTCTACCAATTTCTAGCACTCAGTGTTAAAAATGGGCCCTAAACCCGATTTGGAATTATTGTTTCCTGCAATAGAAGATGAATATACCTGGTTTCCATTGTTTTGCAATCAATCAATACAGCACTTCCCTCCTCTCCCATTACACTAATGAACTGGTCCATTATACCACATGGCATACCTGCAAAATAACACTATTGAACCAGTCTATTATACCATGTATGTCTAAAAAATAACGCTTTTGAACCGGTCTATTATCCCGCATTTCAACACATTGCATACATCCAAAACAACAATAATGAACAAGTTATTGTTACTCAAATATATGTATTTTCAGGGTTTCAGGGTGATTCAAGCATTCTACTACTCATTTAATGGAGGTCACTTTATATTTTTCTTTTACTGAATAAATATTTCCTATACTAACCAGCATACTGATGTTCTGCTGCTTGACAAGCCAAAGCTTTCTCTTCATCTGAGCCAGCTGTGGAGCCGGTCAACTCCTCTAAGAAGGTGTACATGGCAACCTTAATATATGCATGATAAACATCAATCCGCCCTATACTTCAGGACATAAGTTCCATAAACAGGTTTATGGGCCATTTTAAAACTAATATCCCCTGCATTTTGTGCATAAAAATAAACCGACTGGTTTTAACCTTGCAACGAACTGCAGTTTTTTTACATATTTTAGTGTCTCAAAAAGTTTTAACAATCAAACCTCATTAAGTTTGTGTAATACACACAATTATCAGAATTTAGATAAGGAACATCAATGTGTTTTTGTTTTGCGCTTCTTGCAAAGCATTTTCAAGATCAAACTTTTCTTTTTTTATCTATGTTAAGGGTTCATGTTAGAATACCTATTTTTGTAATGATTGGGTGTCCCCACAAATAAAAGAGGGGAGGGATGGTACCCCATCAGACAGACAAGGAGGGGGAGGTTGGCCCCCTACCTGAAGACCAACATGACGGGGAGGTGGATATTCCCCTGGTAATTACCTCAACTGAGGCTGAGCTTGAAACTCCTCCACCAAGAGGAACTGAACCAACAACAACAGCATTGAAGTTGGGAATCAAGTCAGGAGCATGGAAGTTAGCAACAACACCCTGTAAATAGAGATATCAGAAGGAACTGAACCAACAACAACAGCATTGAAGTTGGGAATCAAGTCCGGAGCATGGAAGTTAGCAACACCACCCTGTAAATAGATATATCAGAAGGAACTGAACCAACAACAACAGCATTGAAGTTGGGAATCAAGTCAGGAGCATGGAAGTTTGCAACAGCACCCTGTAAATAGATATATCAGAAGGAACTGAACCAACAACAACAGCATTGAAGTTGGGAATCAAGTCAATATATTTTATTAAATTTTTGGACTATCATCGTTTTAAACGAGTCTTAACAAACATTAATCCAAAACTTATTTAGTCGATGTTTAGTTCATTTGATATGACACAATTAACACCAGAAAAAAAACCGGTTTTTCGAAAGTTAAAGAGTATATCTTAACTTGATACACTGATTGGTTGCATTTTGTATTTCTTTCTTGGATATCGAATGCGTATTAAACTAATCTTAGTAAAACCAGGAGTTTAAGCATTAATCTTGATATCTATCATTCTAAATTTTTCAGCTCTGATCAGTTCAGCCGTTTTGACATTTGAGGCTAACAAACAATTAGACAAACAATTAGACAAACAATTAGACAAACAATTAGACAAACAATTAGACAAACAATTAGACAAACGATTAGACAAACAATTAGACAAACCTGTTAAATTTTTTAATTTCTGAATAAATGTTTTACCTTAACATAATTGGCCCATGAGGGGGAACCTGGAGTCAGTTGTTTAACATTAAACTCTGCAATATCATCATCTTTCTCACTTCTCATTCTACTCACCCCATTCCCTGGTATATTATTAGATATATTAATATCATTATCTTTCTCACTTCTCATCCTACTCACCCCATTCCCTGGAATATTATTAGTTTTAGTAATATCATTATCTTTCTCACTTCTCATTCTACTCATCCCATTCCCTGGAATATTATAAGATATATTAATATCATTATCTTTCTCACTTCTCCTTCTACTCATCCCATTCCCTGGTATATTATTAGTTTTAGTAATATCAATATCTTTTTCACTTCTCATCCTGCTCATCCCGTTGCCTGGTATATTATTAGTTATATTAACATCATTATCTTTCTCACTTCTCATCCTACTCATCCCATTCCCTGGTATATTATTAGTTATAGTAATATCATTATCCTTCTCACTTCTCATCCTACTCATCCCATTCCCTGGTATAATATTAGATATATTAATATCATCATCTTTCTCACTTCTCATCCTACTCATCCCATTCCCTAATATATTATTAGTTATATTAATATCATCATCTTTCTCACTTCTCATTCTACTCATCCCATTCCCTGGTATATTATTAGTTATAGTAATATCATTGTTCTTCTCATTCTACGCATCCCATTCCCTGGTATATTATTAGATATAGAAATATCATTATCTTTCTCACTTCTCATCCTACTCATCCCATTCCCTGGTATATTATTAGATATAGTAATATCATCATCTTTCTCACTTCTCATCCTACTCATCCTACTCATTCCATTCCCTAATATATTATTAGATTTAGAAATATCATTATCTTTCTCACTTCTCATTCTACTCAACCCATTTCCTGGTATATTATTAGTTATAGTAATATCATTGTTCTTCTCATTCTACTCATCCCATTCCCTAATATATTATTAGTTATAGTAATATCATTATCTTTCTCACTATCATCCTACTCATCCCATTCCCTGGTATATTATTAGAAATAGTAATATCATCATCTTTCTCACTTCTCATCCTACTCATCCCATTCCCTAATATATTATTAGTTATATTAATATCATTATCCTTCACATCCTACTCATCCCATTCCCTGATATATTATTAGTTATATTAATATCATTATCCTTCACATCCTTCTCATCCCATTCCCTGATATATTATTAGTTATAGTAATATCACTATCCTTCTCATCCTACTCATCCCATTCCCTGATATATTATTAGTTATATTAATATCATTATTCTCCTCATTCTACTCATCACATCCCCTAATATATTATTAGATATATTAACATCATTATCTTTCTCACTTCTCATTCTACTCATCCCATTCCCTGATATATTATTAATTATATTAATATCATCATCTTTCTCACTTCTCATTCTACTCATCCCATTCCCTAATATATTATTAAATATAGAAATTTCATCATCTTTCTCACTTCTCATCCTACTCATCCTATTCATCCCATTCCCTGATATATTTTATAATTAGTAGTCTCATTTCATTGGCCTATCAAAAGTCATTATTTAATTCTAAAAGTCGTTTTCTTATTCCAGAATTTTCTGGTTCTCACTGTATACGGTCACAGTTTGGAAAGAAGGATCCCTTTAGGTTACTATAACAGTCCCTTTAAGGTCCCAATACCTGATTTTTTCCCAAGAACAACGGTGACAAGAGGTAGCGCCATAGGCAGTACAAATCCCATATTGTAATCAGTGTGCTCACCAATCAGATTTACTCTAAAAGTATATATCTTTAAAGATATAAATATTAAACCTTTGCTAATAGTTAAGAATAAGATACAGATAGGGCCAGGGGTGAACACGAGGAGGTTCTTTCCAAGCCGATTGTTAATTGTTAGTTAAACCGTTAAACAAATATTTAGGTAGCCGTTCGTTATTCATTATAAATAAATGTTTAGCAATATCTATTTTTTTTGTTCTTCAAGTTCAGAGTAAGTATAACACAGTTTGCTTCTTTCATGGCAATTAAGTAAATCAAAGGAGGATGTTCCATCATTAGAAGGGAAGCAGGCGTAGAAGTTATTGTATATCATCAGAGCTGAGAACTCTTTTAATAAGCATATCTAGATCAATGCTTGCTCTCAATCTTATGTTAGTCAACTTGTGTTGATCCTGAAATTCACGGTGGGCAATTTGTAATTTAAGGATCTATAAAACAATACCTTTCCTTCTAGTTATTCCTTGATCCCCTGATTAAAGCTCCCCTTAACTCCCGCCTAGGTACGATAACTATGCGGGATATTGATAAAAATATCAGGATCAAGCATTGACCGAAAATATTTCTGAATATTTCTCTACCTACCTGGTGCACAGCCTCCGACCTTCTAATTATTCCAGTATATTTATCTACCTGCCCGGTGCACAGCCTCCGACCTTCTAATTATTCCAGTATATTAATCTACCTGCCCGGTGCAGAGCCTCCAACCTGTGGCTCCTCCCCGAATGTTTCCTTGAATAGTTCCTTGGCCTGATCAATCAGATCTTTTAAATCAGGAATAGGAGCTGTGGCCATTTTTGTTTTTCTGAAAACTACTGTCATATTTGCTGATTATAACGCCATAATCTACAATATACTCCTATCCTTCCTGATATTTTTTGAATCAACATGTTATTTTTGTCAATACAAAGCAAATCATTTTTAATACTTGGTAATTGGCAAAACTAAGTAGATGACTCTTATGCATTTATTGCAACTTACATTAATTCATTTTAGTCAATTTTTGCAAATATTTTCTAGTCACATATAATCAAATTTCACAATAAATTTACATTCCTTTATTAAAAGCTGGTTTTTTGGTATGCAACAATGTTCATTTAATCCCGCCGGGATATTTTCATTGAAAGATACTTTGAAAATCTAAAAAGGCAAAAAAAATCCGCAAAATCCGCAAGCCCTCGCGTTTATTATTGAATCCCCTCTAAAAAGGAATGTCATTTACTCTCAGACAAATTAGAATCAATGGAAATTTAAACCCCCTCGGGATTCAATGATAAACCCGAGGGCGTTCTGAGAGTAAATGATATTTTTTTCAATGGATTTACAAAAGATATAAATTAAGAAAAAATAGCTCCCTTATTTTGATATTTTGCCTTCCTAGGTTATTAACCTCCTAAAATGAAAAAGTTATTCACCTCCGGACATTAACCTTATTGTTTACTGTAGATTTATAGAGTTTAAACAAAACATTGAATTTTTATTGCTAATTGATTGTTAAACAATAGAAAGGATTAATTAAACAAAATACATTAATTTGATATTAATTAAACAAAATACATTAATTTGATATTAATTAAAACTATTAATTAAAAAATTAAAATAAGATTTAGTTTCAGATAAGGGGCTGTAAATAGATAAAACAATGGTGCTTATTTAGTGACAGAATAAAAATTGTATTATATATTTTGAGTTCAAAGGTATGTTTATAAACTATATATTCGTTCTGTCTCAAATGGGATTTAATGATAAAAAATTGGAAAAATCACAAGGGTTAATGAAAATAAATTCGATTTAAACTTATTAATTAGAACCAGATTAATTATCCGAATTCAAATCGTATTTATACAGAATAGAGGATAAAAAATTTAAATTGACCAAGTTAGGTCAGAGAAAAAACTATTTTTTTAGTAAATCATTAATATTATTAAAGGTAGTGTCCGGTTATGCTGAGAATGCATTGTAAAGAAATTTTTTAGAAGATCGATTGTGTGCTCTTACTTAGAAATTATAAACCATACAAACGTCGTATAGGTCTCAAACGATTTCTAAAATATTTCTCTACAATTCTGCATTCTAAGCTCGACTAAAATGTCTAGTCAGACACTGCCTTTAAGAGAATGATATTTTTGACCATAATTTGTCCAATTTTCAATATTTGTCCAATCCCCGAGGAAAATGTATGCTAGACAGATTTTCCTTAACTTTTCCTGACGGGTTCAAATCTGTAAGTTGATTTGAATTATATGTGTTTTCATTTTGACTTTTACTTGGGGGTTTTTCACATCAATAAAACCTTTATGAGACACCTATTTTTTAATTTTGTGAAAAATGCATTTAATAAACATAACTAAGTAATACCAGTTGAAGGCTGTTTTGCTAAATCAATTCAGAAACTGATCAATTCTGAATCTGTTGTAGTGAAAGATACTATAAATATTACTTTTCTTATCTGTCTTTTGTATCACGTCAAAACGGCTGAACCGATCGGGTCCAATTTTTTATTGTGGCAACTCACCTGACCCCAGGGAAGGTTTTTGAATGCTCAAAATTGAACAATTTTACCGAAATTAATGTTGACCATATATATAACTAATGTGAAAAGTGTATGAATGTTCATATCTTACACGCTGTGAATAAACTGTCTGTAGACCCCAGACCACAATATTTCCAGCTTTCCTATTTGTCTAGGAAAGCAAAAATATGTTCAAGCATATGTTTGTTATAATGATTATTATTATCAAGAAAATCATAGATCTTAAAGGAAAGGTCAACATTATCCCATCAGAGATTATAAACGATGCTTAAAGGGGTCTACATATTTTATTTTGAAAAGTTTATGGCATGTTTTTTTATTGAAAAATCTCATTGGAAAACAAGTTGAGAACCTGCTTTTATCAACATATGGTTGAATATATACAAGTTTACATGTGCTAATATGTAAAGTTTTAAAGGGAGTGACCGGCTATGTAAGGTTGTTGAACTGAGTATGCAGTGTTGTGGAAAACTTCTTTCGGATTCATTTGAGACATATTAAACTTTTTAAAGATCTGTAAATCTTGAGTTTGAGCGCAAATTCGAAGTTCAAAACTATTATTAAATAACGACGACTTATTTCCCATGATAAAAGTTAGATATGTTTCTCAACCTGTTTGTATACATGCAACTAGTTCCAAATCAAATCAAGTATGTATTTTTGTCCCAAGCTTACATTACATATAGAATTACTAGAATGAAATATTTATAAAGCATATTTATGAAAACTATAGGATTTGTTACTTGTTTGATCCATGTTATTTAAAAATTGTAAAAAAAAAAAACGTTTCATATGCTGACTGAAACAACTTATGAAATATTACGAACAACTTAACGCTTTAATTTAAAAATTGTACACCGTAAAAACCTCTCATTGGTATCAAATGAACCCTAACTTCAGCTCAACTACAATGTCTAGTTAGTCTCTCCCTTTAAAAATTCAAAGTGTACTGCAAAATACGGAAACAAGTAATTTAAGAATAGCTAAAAATGTCGTCCTTACATGTCTATCTTAATTTCTAGCTTTTAAGGGAATCTTCCATTCCAATCAAATAAAGAAAATAATATCTAAATTCTTGAGGGGCACTAAGCACCCTAGATTCAAAATTCATACAAAAAACACACAACCACACACTAAACACTCACACTCCCCTTTAAGATTGATTCTCTGTTTGCAAATTGCTCCTTGTTAAAATTTAATTTCTTTTGAATTAATCTTTGTTTGATTGGGATAAAAAAAATTCTATTTCATATCTGTCTTTATTTGATTATTGTTTTATTTTGATTATCTATTTTAGATCAATAATATGATATTTTTGTAAATTGTTTTGATTTGCTAAAATTGATCATTTTTCGTATTCTTATTTCACGTTACATAAGAATATTAATATGAATATTGTTATTAAAAACATTAAAACAATAAAATTCAATGACATGAACTATAGGAAACACATTTTAGCTTCGGTTTTGACCAACCGCTGTAAACTGAAGACTATAGACTGTAGACTGTAGACAGCAGACTGTAGACTGTAGACTGTAGACTGTAGATTGTAGACTGTAGACTGTAGACTGTAGACTGTAGACTGTAGACTGTAGACTGTAGACTGTAGACTGTAGACTGTAGACTGAAGACTATAGACTGTAGTACTGTAGACTGTAGACTGTAGACAGTCGACTGTAGACCGTAAACTGTAGACCGTAAACTGTGTCGACTGTAGACTGTAAAGAGAGGATGTATGTAAAAATTCAGTTTTTAATAAAGAAAGTTGTTCCTGGAGAAATTTTCACAATTTATATCTCAAAAAGTGAATCTTCAAAATCCCCCACTCCCCAAGATTACTGTACATCTGGACATTTATGTATTGTACTGCATAACCTCCACAGTCCAACACTTCCCAAACCAAACGCTGCCACCTGTTATTCTATAGTAGATATATTCTGAGATTTATATATATAATTTTCAACCGGAAATGTATTTTTATAGTTCTGATTATATTAGTAAATCTGGTATTGAGTTCAATACAGTTCAATATCATGATCGGAGTAGGACGGACGTTTCTCCATATTCTCCTGTTCTCTCCTATCCTACATTTTACCCCTCTCACCATAGAAAAAATGGAGACGAAGAAGGAAACTGATGTCGTGGTAATTATAACTTGGGGTTACTTAATCTAAATTAGTTTTGTGATTTTGAGTTTATTTCTTATTATTTTCAAAAATTTCTTGGTGAAATTTACAAATAGAAAACCCATAATTTTTTTATTATTATTTAACTTTTGTTCAAAGTTATTAAGAAAATGTTCGGGATAGCTCTCAAATTTTGATATCATTAACATTCTTGACGTAATTTCGAACACTATGTTAAACAATGCTTTCGATAAGTTCGTTATAGAAAACGTTAGAGTTCATTTAAACAATGTCATGAAGAAAATTTAAATTTTTTTGGTGACCACTGTAATCAAACCATTTCTCTGTTAAGGATACAAGATCTGGTTTCTATCCTGGAGGTCCTGGAGGTCCAGCTCTAGTGCCTGGAGCTAACCAAGGAATTATCAAATTCGAAAACCTAACCCTGGCAATTCAAATCTCAAAATATTTAATCCTAGAATTTAAAAACCAGTTTTGCAACGACTAAAAGGCTTAACTATAACGATGTATTATTTTATGTGTTTGCTCTGGCTGGACAAACGGTTCCCCATGGATACACTGCATGATAACATTTTTTCTTACGCTAGGATTGGGTTTTATTAAATTTTGATAAAAAGGGGGGAACCGTGATGACGGAATGAATCCACAAAATAATTGGAACAATCAACCCTACCCGGATAATTTTAACCTACCTTACGGAGATAACCCAACCCGTCCGAATGGACCCAATTCCCCATACGGAAACAGACCGAACCCGGATAGTTTTGGGTTTCCTGATTTCCCGTTAAACCGACCGGGGGGTCCTGGTCCAGGAAACGGATACAACAGGTGAAATATTACTTTTTCAAAATATTTTCTTAAAAGAAAGCGCTGTCTAACTCGTCCAACTTGTCGAAATACTAAAAATATTTTATTTTGAAACTTTTATCCCGAAAATTTGCAAACTTGTCAGGATTTCAGCATGATGGAGAAATAATACGGTGCTTATATCTCTTAAAGGGACTGTAAAGGAAAAATGAAAGGGGGTATAGGCTGAAAGCTAATCACTTTAGCTCTTGATCGCGACCCATGAAAGTTATATCTGATGTTTTTGTCTCGAGAAATTGATATAAAACTGTGTTAAAATTATACGAAAGTTTATATGTAAAATTTAGAAAATCTTAAACTTTAATCACGTGACCATAACTATCACCAATGGCAGAGCAGTATACTGGTCACGTGTCTCCGCCTGTATCACGTGACCACTTCACTGCACTGCCATTGGTGGAATTTCTGGTCAAGCAATACGAACGCATAAATAATATAATGAAATAAATCTATAAAAAATAGAAATAACAAATATAAAATTAGAATTGGAGTAAACCTGCGTTACAATTAGCTTATTTTGGACACCATCGTTTCTAGATTGGTTGCATATTTGCTGAATTTGATCTTTTTAAACCCACTACTTTTATACAAAATTGTATATATATTAATTTTCGTATAAATTTGACAAAGTTGTAAATCAGTTTCTCGAGATAGGAACATCAGATATAACTTTCATGGGTCGCGATCGAGAGCTAAAGTGATTAGCTTTTAGCCTATACCCCCTTTCATTTTTCCTTTACAGTTCCTTTAAATGCAAATGTATAATACCGTAAATTTGCAACAATTACAAGTGTTTCTGTAGATAAGTAAGGAAAAGTCTGTCATCCTTCATCAGTCTAAGATTTAAAGTGAATCGGAGATGCACCTTTATTAATGGAAGTTATCTTGAAATTACGCTTACAATCCCTTTAAGGATGTAATTAGGGCCAATTTTCTTGTTCAAATCCATATTGGACCAGTGCAGTTCTTACGTTTCATTTAATACATTTAAACAATGTGATTTTTAACTATAATAAAAGAGAAAGGAAAAAAAATTTCGTCAAAATAAATCAGAATGGGTTTAGAATCTGCCTTTAAACACAGAGGTAAAAAATACGTTCAAATTATAAAAATCCATTAAAAAAACAAACAGTCAAACCCCGGTTTGGGGGGGAAAAAGTGTCTCAATCAGACTAAAAATATCTTAAAAACAAAAAAGTGAATTGAATTTAGCAGTTCGAGACGCATCTAGCTTTTGATACCAGACAATAACATTTTTCAATAATATTGAAAAATCGATCTATCAATTGATCTTTTATATGATTTTCTGTTTTGAAAATACTTTCTGAAACTCAAATTTTCTTATCATAATATTTTTGAAATCTGATATTTCAAACTTAGATTGTTTAATCTAACAGAATTCACGGTTTAAAATATCTAAGGTTAAGACTTTTGGTTGCTAAGATATAGGGATTAGAATATCACAGTTTGTGACAAAAATTCAATTCCTTTGCTATGCAATACACATAATATAATTTATTGAAAAATAAAATGATTTTTTTTTCGATAAAATGACTTTACTATTAAATATGTAATATTTTAGTGGGATGAACGGTCAGATAAATTTTCAGATAAATACAGAGATATGTAACTTAATCCATTGAAACTTTGTTCTTATGAAAATCCCGGTCAAAAATACAAAACAATTTCCAGTTTAAAACATGAATTAACAGAAAGCAAGCACTATCTATGACCAGGAACCCCAGTATATAAATATATTGTTTATGCAAATGACATGTGATGCGTTGTGATGCGTGATGGGTTAGGCGTAAAAATCAACAAACTTAGCTTTTTTTCTTAATTTTTCCGACTGGACTTTTAATAATTTTTGTTCGTTAACGTAACTTTTCCCAATCGTATTACCATAAAATACAAGTTTTTTTCTTAAATTAAAAAAAAAATTTATTTCGTTTGAGTAAGACCTTTGACTGATCATAGTGTTTGGATTGCAATTTAAACGCTGGTGTACAATATGAACTCAAGACAGCGGACATGTAAACCTCTATAATACTTAATATTCTATGATGTTCACACCAGTTTCCGAAAATCCGTAAATATTGATAATTCTTAAACATTAAAACACCTCGCTACAACGACAAGCGATTCGCCGATAAATAAAGATACGTTAAAGGTCATTTGAAATTAGACTGATTAAGTATTGGGTTGATTTTCTAGGAGTCACAGTTCCCGGACGAAACTCCTCCATGCCGAGATATTCTCTCCAGATTTGAGGATGCAATGATGAGAGACAGATCAACCTTCTACCTGAGCCAGGGTCAACAGATGGAGTTGTATTGGTGTTTCTTGGCTCAAAAAAAAATTGGGGTCATCAAGTTGAGGTGTGCGCGGAGATCTATCTTTAGTTAGTTATTTAAGTATAGTAACTATAGCTTTCATAGCTAGGTTAAATGTCTTACTTCTCATTAAAAGACTAAGCATCTGTTAATATTTGAATACGGATTTTATATATTTTTACTTTACAATCGCAAGTGTGTCAGTACTATAGGTATAAAATTTCCTTTAATGTTCCTTTTATAAGAACTAAAACACGTCATCTATTTTCATAAACATAACTGCATATTTTCTTTATTTCCATGAACTGTATAAAATTGAACAAATTTATTTATATAAATATATATAAAATAGTGTGAGTTTGCGCGTATTCATATTAATATATTTTATTTTAAAACTTCATATTCTCTATTAAACTAAAATTGTGTGTATTTGCAAATGCACAAACGCGCACAGTTTTAGCATTGTAAAAATAAATTGGCTGACCATCTTAAGATGTACGAAACTGCGTGAGTGTGAGTGTGAGTTTGCGCGTATTTATAATAACATGTTAAATTTTTCATTTTAAAACTCCAATTTTTTCTATTGAATTAAATAGTGTATATTTGCCCATGTACTAACGCTCACAGTTTTAGAGTCAGAAAAATAAATTGCTTGACCATTGAGAACATCTTTTTATGTAAATTCAACATATTGTGAGTTTGCGCTTAATATATATATATTTCATTTTGAAATTCCAATTTTTTCTATTGAACTAAAATTGTGTATATTTGCGCATGCACAAACGCGTACGGTTTTAGAGTCAGAAAAAAAATTGTCCGACCATCTTTGGGCATACAAAACTGAGCTAAATAAAATTGAAAAATTCTTTTTATGTAGGTTCAAAACAGTGTGAGTTTGCGCATGCACAAACGCGCACAGTTCAGCATCGGGAAAAAAATTGCCCGATCATCTTCAGACGTACGAAACTGTGCGTATTATACACACTGCATTACACACACTGAACAGACGTTATTACGCATGCGCATTCAGTGGCCCATATCCCTCGAAATCCCGAGATGTTTCAAATCAGGGGGCGGAAACGTCATGTGTGTGTGTCTGTACCAAAAGAGTGTGTGTAAGGATACCGTACCAAAGGTGTGTACTGTAGGTTTATGCAGTATGTATGAATCTCGGTATTTGTACAGTCTAGGAGAATTCATTCGTTTACTGTTAATTGTTTACTTAAAAATAAGTTTTAAATGCATGTAATATATTGTTTACATATTAAAGTCAACACTATAAAGCGAAATTTTCATGCAAAGAATATAACTTGATTAAAGTTTACAATAAATATAGTCATTATTCAAGTTTAATTATAATTGACAACATTGTTCTGCAATTTCCTTGACTGTAATCATGTCTGTACCAAAAGAGTGTGTGTTAGGTTACCGTACTGGTCTGCAAAGCAGTGCGACTGGCTTTCTCATGCCAGACCAGCGCCATTTCCTTTCCCTTTATTCCTATTCCCTGTTTCAAACTCAAGAATCTGCGCGTATTGGTCATATACTGTTATACACATGTTACGCAATTATATTTTCTTTTTCTCATGTATTCTTGTCCATCTAGTATCTTTTTATCTTCTATTTTAATCAATTCTTTTTGTATCTTCTTTTTTGTGTACCTCTAATTTCTTATTTTATAAAGTTTTGATAATACTCTTTTAGTTTTCTGTTAGTTTTGATTTCTTTATTCTTCATTATTTCGCTCTTTGTTTTCTATTTCTTGTTCTGTTATATTTTTATGTATTTTTCTAATGTATTTTACTATTTGATATTCTACTTATTTTTCTTGTTTAAAGTGACTTAATCTCTCATTTATCTTTTTCTTATTTCACATTTGTTTCCTTTTTATGATTCTATTTTTGATATTTGTTACTTTGCCTTTTTCACTATAACATAATTTCAAGTTAACCATACATATATAGTGGCAAGTCCGATTCACAACCCTACCCTTCAAACCTTTATCTTATCAAGAATAAATGAGATATTCATGATTTATTACTTTATTTTCACGCTTTTTTTCAACTATGTGTTCTCTGTTAAAGTGACAATCAAAAATATACCAAAACAAACAAAATAATAGTGATTATCGTGTCAGAATCGAAAAAATGAAAATGACAATATCCACCATATAATTTAAGGTATTTTGTTTGTTCACATAGCATAAAAATTCGTAAAAAAATCTATAATCTTAAAAACAAAATAATTAAAAGTAGAAAGTACAGTGTATATTAAGTATAAGAATGAAGAAAGAAAAAGAAAGAAGGAAGAAAGAAAAGAGGGAAAAAAAGAATGTAAATATTGAGAAGAGAAAGTAGAATCGAGTAGACAAGAAACAGGAAGGTAGGAAGAAATAAAAAGAGAGAAGAAAGATAATCTCTTCATATCTTTTTTTGTCTTTCTTCTCCCCATATTTACTCGTTGCTATCATCCTGTGTGATAAAATATTCATTTATTTTATCCTTCTATTTTCATCAGGGGCGTACGAGGGGAGGCCGAGACTCATGGGAGGGGGGTCTTTTAATATTACATCTGCTTGCATTTCCCTTCCTCAGGCAATCTACATTCTACATTGCATTACATTGCACTCACCCAAACTAAAAGATTGAGAATAGAAATAAAATACATTCTGTGTCTGAACAAGTATTGCATTAAACATCCATGTATCTCATTTTGTAAACTGAATATTTTTATTTGTGGTTTCTCTACAAAAGTGACTCGCGCATTTCTTGCTTCAGAAACGATGGAGAAATGAAGGTTTCAAAGTTACATCGGACATGCCATTCTATAAATGGAGGGTCACTTGAAATTACGCATGTATTCCATTTAAGTATAATTACATCGTATAGAAAAAAAATACTTTAGAATCTCACTTTTGCCCTGAACTTAAAGAAGTTTCATTAAAAAAAGGCTTTAATCAATACTGCATTCAGTGTAAATATATATTTGATATCATAATTTATGATATAATATGTATCAATCCTATGAAAATATAGATAATTTTTAAGAAATATTTCCATCTATATTTTTCATCCCTTGAAGCTTACACCACAGTATTAAGAGGGATTGGTAAA